GTTTTTTTTTTGTGTTAGATGCTTATTTGGACGTGTGGGTGTGGCACTTTGTGGGCGACTTTCCAGTTGTGGCAACTGACACCCACGCCCCCGCAACTCACTCAGTAACTTAGCACTCACATCAACAGAACAACACACGCAAAGCACCACACACACACACACACTCTCTCTCTCTCACTTGTTCATTTTCCCATCGACGCGACAGGAGCTCAGGAGAAGGAGAAGAGGGAGAAGGAGAAGAGGGAGGAGTAGGAGGTGCTTGTGTGCTTGTTGTCATGTCACAGGATATCTCCTTCTCAAACTCACACTCAACTGTCCCCCCCTTGTGTTGGCCCCTGTCTCTCTTTTCTCTTGCAGGTCCAGCGATCATTCCTCCTTACATGTGCTCTAGTGCTCTTGTTTACTGAGTTTCTAGTGTTTACTTGTCTGCTCTGTGTGTGTGTGTGTGTGTGTGTGTGTGTGGCGCCTTTGGTGGCAGTCTTTGCAGTCAGCCTCGTGGCAGTCAGCCCTCTGGGCATCTGCCTCGTCGGCGGTCTTGCTTTGGTGTCACCGACCCTCGTCAAAGCAGAGCAATCTCTTTGGCGGTGGTCAGCAGGGTTCCCGACGTGGTAGCCTCAGGGTTGCTGCAGACACCGCTTGTCCAGCACATCCATGCAGCGCGCGTAAGCACTTGTGGCCTTCCCCTCCGTTTCGAGGGTTTGACGGCCCAAGGCTGCGTGCTGAACAAGTGGGCCGGCGGTGTGAGTACTTGTCTACTTGTGACACAGTGCAAGCACCGCTGCTGGGAACTTCTGTGGTGAGTCATGTCAACAATCGCAAATCATCGCTGGCTTGGCTGGCTGGCTTGCTTGCTTGCTTGCTTGCTGGCTTGCGTCCGCCGTTTTGCAACCGTGCCCACAAAATTTCGTGCACTCACAGTTGTTGCTTGCGTTGCAAATTGCACGCCCGCGCTGACGATTTAACGCCGTCCTGTCCGGGCAAGTTTGTGCGCGCTGGTTGGTGGGTTGGTGTTGATGCTCGTGTTGATGTATGTCAGTGCTGGCTGGATAGTGCTTGGAGTTTGAGTGCTTCACCCTCCGCTCTGTGGCCTGTTGTTTGGCGGGAAACGTAACGCTGCACAAACACAAACACACACACACACACACGCACACATACATACACACACGCGTACCCACATGCACATGAACAACAACAGCAACAACAACACTACCGACTCACGAGTTCACATCATGTCACATGGGACAGCCATTTGACTTCAACACTGCAGACACCATGGCAGACCTCAGTGGTGGCCCTCGCATCGTGTGGTTCAAGGTGCGTGTACTTGCATGCAGTGTGAGCTCGTGTGCTGTTGCTGGCTGTTTGTGCACGCACGCGTGCTGTCGTTTCTGTGTTGGCATGATTACTTTACCACCCACCCCACGCTCACTCCACCACACCCGCTCACGCACCCCACACTCGCCTAACCCACGTTTACGCACACATGTTGACCCGCGTGACACGCGTACAGGCGCTGTACACGCACCAAAAGACGAAGAAGCGAAAGACTTACCAGGACGGCCTGCTCAAGTGGGACGTGGAGCGCTCCAAGGCCATCTTGTACAATGAAGGCGGGACCGGCAGCGCCTTGGACTCAGTGTTCCAGCGGCGGCAACTGCAGCCCGGCGACGACCTGGAGTCCGACCGCTACCTCATCCAGCTGGAGGAAGTGGACGAGCAGCGCACCTCTGGCGGTCTTGTGCAAGCGCCAGCACCAGCGTCATCGCCATCGCCCTCCTCATCCCCGACACGCGCCCTTCCACAACAACGACGTGCATCCGGGCAGCGGCTATACCCGCAGTTCCACCGCCACCCACCACACACCACCTCTGCCACTGCAGGCACTGCCAGCACGCCCACGACACCCCCGTCCACGAGCGCATCAACGTCGCCCCAGCGTCCTCTGAAGCAGCAGCAGCAGCAGCCGCCGTTCAAGCGCCCGCGGTTTCGCGCACCTCACCGCCGTGCATCCTCTGCAGCGCAACAGCAGAACCCAACAGCACCGCCAGCCCACGATCCCCTTGCACCAGGTATGGGTGGTGACGGACAGTGGCGGCAGCGGCGGCGTGTGCAACGGCCTCGCTATCCCAGTGGCGACGACCAGCCGGGCGGCGTGTCGCCAGCATCACGCCCAATGCAGGTTGGCGGCGGCCTTCCCCCTCATCACCACCAGCACCACCAGCACAACCCGCACCAACACAACCCGCACCAACATGACCCGCACCAGCCTCCACTTCACATGGACGACAGCGCACCACCAATCACGGCGCCATGGCGCGGTGAAGACACAGAAAGTGGTGGTTTGCTTCTTGATGATGGCGGGCGCGAGCGTGCCCCGAAGCAAGCCAAGGTGATTGGGAGGTCACACTGTCCGTCCAGCACAGCGCAGGCACCGGCCCTGATTGGCTGCTTTGGTCACAGTGAAGCAACATACCTGGTCACGCCAGCGTCGCCCAGCCGACAGCAGCCACATCCACACGGCTCTCGTCGCGGTGCGAGCACGAGCCACAGCAGCGCGTCCGCAATGACCAGCCACAGCAGCAGCACCATCTCCTCCCAGTCAATGCCAACCCCTGCGCCGTCATCCCAACACCATCAGCAGCAGCAGCAGCAGGCGACATCTGGCCGCAGCGACGAGGCCCTCCTTGCCCTCCTGCTCGGCGGCAGTGGCAGTGGCAGTGGCAGTGGCAGCAGCGAGCACCAGCATGGCTCCATGCGCAGTGCACCTCCAGCCGCACCCATGCGACCTCGTTACGCTCCATCGCACTACCACCACCAGCAGCAGCACCAGCAGCAGCATGGGGGAGATGGCGGTGATTACTTCCCGGACGATGAGGACGAGACGGGGTTCCTGGATGCGTTGTTGGGAGTCGATGACGAAGGCACCCTCGCACCGGCT